GAGGGCCAGGCATCGCGTCCTGACTGGCTGTCTGCGAGGGCCAGGCACAAGGCGGCGGCGGCCAACGGCTGAGACGGCGATTCTGGACGGAAGCGTAAACTGGGGCAAAGCTACCCATTAACTGAGCTTTCCCTGCAAACCGGGAAAAGTCCACTAATACTAAAATTTAACCCAAAGCTGCTGCTCCAGGACATGAACCCCATGCTGGGAGCCGGGCCCCTTGCCTGCAGCAGCGTCTCACCGATGTCCCCGAGTCTGTCCGGGACCCGGAACTGGGGAGCGATTTCCTGACAGACGGGAGAAAAGGCGGTTGTCCTGAGCTCTACCACCTCCCCCGGGCCAGCCTGGGGGTCCCACACGGGAGACCCCAAGTCCACGCCAGGGGGCGCACGGCCAGGTCTAAGGGCAGGAATTCCCATGGGGACCTTGACCAGTGACCCCACCTCATCCTCCTTCTCTTCCCTGCTTGGTCCGCGCCCCCCACCCGCCCCCCAAGTCCCTAGGCACTTGGCCACCAGAAGTCCCAGGGCTCGGCTCTCAGTCACGCTGAGACGAAATTACAAGCTCCAAAGAGAGCCTGGCGGAGACGGGAGTCGCACCAGTGACAAGCCTGGGGCCTCCACCGCTGTGCTCAGGGCCCGGAGAGGTCAGGCGGCCCAAGCACGGAATCTTCTCTGCGGCTGGGGCCGAGGGAGCCCACGTGGGACGAAGGCCTGGGTCACCACGTGGGGGCCACCGCAGGATTGTTTCCCTCGGAGAAATGCTCACGAGTCTGCAGGACACGCTGCATGGACTGCTGAGGGAGAGGCCGGGTCCTCAGAGCCCATGTCCCCAGGGGGTCTCCCCATCTCACTCGGCCCCCACCTGAACGCCTGCCTGGGGTGCACAGGCTGGGGGATCCAGGCGGAGGGTCAAGCTCCCCTGCTCTGCCCTGTGCTCGTCCACTCAGCCTGGGGGCCTGGAGGGAGCCTGGGACGGGGGGACAAGGCGGCCGCCCCACCTCGTCTGCCAGCACTGCCCCTCCTCACACCAGGGGTCCACGGGAGCTCCATCTGACCCCCGGCTCTGAACTGGGCCCTGCACACCAGCAGGGCCCAGGGCTTCCAGAAAGCAAGCTTCCAGCCTGCTCACCTTTTCTCTCCAGAGGAGGGGAGTGTGCAAGTGTATATGTGTGTGTGTGCATGTGTGCACCCGTGTGACAGCATGTAAATACGTGTGAGTGTGTGCCTATAAGTGTGAATAAGTATGTGAGGGTATGAGTGTGCCAGCACGTGTGTGAGTATGTAAGTGCGCACGTGTGAATGTGTTAAGTATGTAAATATGTGAGACAGCGTGCACGAGTGTGGTTATGTGTGTTTGTGTACTTTGTGTGTGCGTGAATGCTTGAACATGTATGTGTGTGCCTGAGTGTGCACGTGTGTGAATATGCAACTATGTAAATATCTGCACGTGTGAGCATGAGTGCACGCGCCTGTGCTCCGGTGCACGAGGGGGAATCGCCCAGACACCCTGGTGCCCTCGGAACACGTGGGCACCAGGCGGCACCAGGCGGAGGCCTGGGGTCTCCTTCAGACTCAGCCCCAAGCACCCGCCCTCCCTGCCCTGGGAGGGGCCCGGGGGGCCCAGGGTCTTCGGGCGACGCTTGCTTACTTCTTATCACACTGAGGCCAAAGAAGTGGGCTTCTCTGATGCCGGCCAGGTCGCACACCTGCTGGAAGAGCTCGTGCCCGGCAGCCTGCACCTGCGATAGAGATGGGAGGTGCTCAGGGCGCTGAGCAGGGCGACCTCTGGAAGAGGAGGGAGTCCAGAGGAGGGTCCACCGAGCCGGGCTGGTGGGCAGGGGGTCTGGCTCAGCGGGCTTCCCGCTCAGCAGGGTCAGGGCTCGGGGTCCCTGGTCACTCCCCAGGCTGACGGCTATAAGTCCCCCCAACACAGCAGGCCGCCTGTGAGAGGGTGAGACCCTCACGAGGGCAGGGGCGGCATGTCCGACCCCAGGACAGGAGGCTGCTCCCTCCAAGGACGGGGTGTGGGAGGCTCTGTGTCCCCAGGAACCCCACTGGGCTCTCTCCTCACTCGAAGCCAGCATCGCTAGGCGACTCCTGAAAGCGGGGCTGGCGTCTGGGCACCCCTGAAAGGGGCGTGTGCTGCAGGGGAGGCCCATGTCTCCCCACGCCCCAGTTCTGCCACAGCAGCCGTCCTGCCCCACAGGGACCTCCTGCCGGGCTGCAGGGCCCAGGCCGAGCCCCAGCGCCGTCACCTCCCCGCCCCTCCCCCCTCCCACGCGGCCCCAGTCCTGGGTGTGCGTCCATGCCTGCACGAGTGAGGTCTCTCTCGCGTCGGTGTGTGTACACGGAAGGGCGGGCTCTTGCCCTCACCACAACTATTAGCCAGTCGGCTTTCCATCATCCACAAATGCTTCGTGACACCTAAAGCGTTAACAGCATCTTCATATCAGCCGTCCCACACGTTCAAATTTCCGGTTGTCTCACAAACGTCAACGTTTTCGTGCTTTGTTGATTTGAATCCAGACTCAAGGAAGGCCCCGCCCCGGGACCTTCCCCGCCGTTGAGTTGTTGGGCACACAGGGTCCTTTATCCCGTGGCCGACACATCTCCCTGGTGGGTCTGGTCCTCTGTCCTCTGTGCTTCCTGGGCCGGTGATTGGTCCCCACAGACCTACGTTGCCGTCTGGCGCCCGTGTCCGTGTGTGTGAGGCCGGCTGGTGGAGGCTCGGGTTCACCGAACGGAGACCCATTTACCGGGGGCAGCTGAGGGGCTGGAGTGCGACGGCCGGGCAGCCTGAGGACGCTGGTCGCAGGCTTCCCGGGGACGGGCGGAGCTCCTGTGACTCGGGGAGTCCCACTTCTTAGTGGTCAGTGCCCGGGAGGCCGGCCTTGCCATCGTCCGTCTGATCTGGTGAGGGACAATCCCTCCGCCCGCGATGACGGTGACGCGTATTCGCAGCAAGGCTTCCCAGCCCATGGCTTCCTAATGCTTGGTGTGAAGCCGCACGCGGTACAGTTAAATACGGGCTCCTCCCTCACTGCTAGCCCAGTGCGCACACCCCGGAAGTAACTTCCTCTGGGCTCCGCGTGGCAGGGCCAGGAGGGCGAGGCCACGGGCACTGGAGGCTGGCTCCGTGGGCCCCGTCGCAGCCAGGATCCACGTCTCCTTCTAGAGGGTTCAGCTCTGCTCCGGCTGCACGGTCCTTCAGGAAGACCTTCCCGTGAAGTTCACCGAGGAACCAGGCTCACATAGGGCAGGGCCAATGCCCCAGGACCTCCCCTCCCCCACCCCGCCCCAGGTCCCCTTGCTGCACCCTCCCCGTGGCATAAGGCACCTCTAAGGACACAGCGAACCCCCGGGAAGCCCATCGATCAGCTCCAGCATCTCATCGCTGGATGGGGACGCAGAGGCTTGGGGACCTTGACTCCAGTACAGAAGTGTGTCCCTGAGCAGAGGAGAAATTCCCAGGACACAGGCAAGACATTCCCGGGAGCCGTGGGGCATCTCAGACCCCTTCCGCCCCCGCCCAAAGGCAGCCCCAAACCAGCCCCGCAGGGTCCAGCGCTCTTCGCCAGACCCCTCCCACTTCAAGTGCCGCGTTTCACAAACCGCAGTCATCCTTCAGTGAGGTTACGCCCTCCCCCAGGGGCCCGCCCACTTTATGGGCGCTTTCCGTTGCCTCTCAACTCAACTAAGACAGGCAGACAAGGTGAGAGTAGGAAGGAAAGACAGACACAGAGATTCCGTCTTCCTCTGATTGGGCCCTAGACAGCCCGAGCGTCCGCGATGGCCGAACACATGAGATAGACATTTCCACGTGGACGTTAGCTTCCCGAGTTCTCCGTCGCCCTCGCACCCTGCACCCCGCGTTCCCAGAAAGGAGATGCAGAAACAGGAACTTATTTCTCACAGTCAGCAACGTCTATCAGGAACACTCCCTTCACGGGCCAAATGGGAGGGCTGACCCCTCCCCGGCGTGCCTCCAAGACGGGGCCTGGGGCTCCAGAGCACCCGCCCCCCGCCCCCCTGGCTCTGCTCCCCTGCGGGCGGGGGGCTACACCTACAGCGAGAACGCAGACGGGCTCTGGAACCAGGCGGCCCGGGCTGCAGCCCCAGCTCGGCACCAAGTGCTCGCCAACCCTGGGCCTCAGTTTCCCGTCTGTGAGATCAGACCAGCAGGGGGCAGGGCCCCGGCTGCACGTGGAGAGGGCTAAGGGAGGGGGCAGAGCCGGACACGTGGGGGCACCAGTTAGCGCAGGAGGAGCTGCTCCGGGCCGCGATGGGGAAGAGAGACCTCGACCTCAGCTCAGACACGCCCGGAAGGGCCACTACAACCGAGCTCCAGAGACCGCCTGGCACCGGAGGGCTCAGGCCACTTCACTTTCTCTCGGGCAACTGGAATGAGGTGGAAAGACGTCAGAATCCCGGCTGGAAGTGACTTGGCCCTGCACGGACCCACTAGACGCCCCGTGTCCCGAGGGCCGGAGCTGGGGCGCAGGCAGCCCGCGGTGCAGGCTCTGAGTTGCCGTGGGGCACAGCAGCGGACCCACAGCACGGCCGGCTCGTCCGGTGTGTCCCCGTGGGTGTTTGTGCTCAGGCCAGGCCCCAAGCACCCCTACAGCTGCTGTACAGAGACGGGGGCTCCCCTCCCCGGCTCACCGTACCCCCGCTCCCTGGGAGGTCCCGTCGGGGAGGGTCTCTGCGGGGCCGGGAGTCCCTGTGCGGGGCCAGCGCGCAGCCCCTCTCTCGTTCTGGGCGCTCCTTCACAGGGAGGGAGGGGCAGGTGGGGCCGGGCCTGCGGGGCGCCCTGAAGACGTCTGTGTGGCAGCCGCTGTCCCCGGGGTGGCCGGGGGCCTGGGGAAGGCGGTCGAGGCGAGCTCTGTCCCAAGGGTGCACTGGTCCTCACAGACGAGGTGGCATTCAGAGCCGGGCACACGCCACCTCGGTGACGAGCTTCTTAGCTAATGGCTCTGGCTTCAAACAGCTGCACTGTCTGGTGGGAGCTTGCAGGAGTCACACGCTTCCTAAAGAGAGCCTCCGTCCTGCACCTGCGCCTGCGTGTCATCCTGCGTGTGGAGTGAAGCCACGGACGCCTAAGCGACAACTCACATCTCCCCTGAAAGGACAACCTGAGGCACGTGGCCATCAGGTAGAGGCCAAGCAAGGTCTCTCACGGACACTGTCGAGCGAACCCCTGCTCCGCTGTCCCCAGCCCAGCGCTTCGGGGCTGCCCTTCCCAGGGAAGGCAGGAGCCACCTTCTTGGGAGGACAGACCCGCGGCCTTGCCCCTCCCAGCAGGACCTCACGGTTACCCGCAGACAAGGTGTGGGCGGCCTGACTCCCATCTGCCAGGTCTGAATCTGGCTCCCTCAGCAGCTTTAGTGTTTATTCCAGGCCGAGGACGCAGCTGCCCTCAGATCCACCCCCACCCGGGGCACGGGAAGAGGCTCCAGAAGGGATGGCCCCCTCGGAACAACATCTGCCCACGCAGGCGCCGGACGCTGCGGACTGTGTCTGGCCTGGGCCACAGCCGGGGGCTGCAGACCGAGAGGGACACACACTGTGTAAAGGTGGCCAGAGCCAGCGTCCGTTTCTCTAAGCTGGGGGGCAGTGGTGTGATTAGAACACAGTGCGGTCCCAGGGGGCAGGCCTGCCGGCACACTGGCCCCATGTGGTCCCCACGGCCACCCCTCACACATGGCCTGGCTCACCCCATGGCCCCTGCTGCCCCCCGCTGTCGCCCACCCGGCCCTCCTCCGCGCTCACCCCCACGGCCACCCCACACACATGGCCTGGCTCACCCCGTGGCCCCTGCTGCCCCCCGCTGTCGCCCACCCGGCCCTCCTCCACGCTCACCCCCACGGCCACCCCATACACATGGCCTGGCTCACCCCGTGGCCCCTGCTGCCCCCCGCTGTCGCCCACCCAGCCCTCCTCTGCGCTCACCCCCACAGCCAGCCGCAGCCGTTCCCGCGTGGGGAGTAGCACCAGGACGTCCCTGCGCTCCGAGGGCATCTCGCCGTCCCAGGGCCACTTCTGCCAGCTGCACATGGGGTCTCAGGACCAGGAGCCCTCCATCCGCCCTGCGGGAGAGAGCTCGTCAGGGGCGCGGCACCGGAGGCACAGGACCGCGTGTCACCACGCGTGGGCCCTCTTCCACCGGCCGGACACAGGTGCGGCCCTGCGCCCCCAGACTCACCCAGCTCCGGGCTCCCTGGGGACAGGCACCCTGCTGAGCTCCTGGCTGGGAAGCCGCCCGCAGTGGAGCCAGGCCAAGGTCCAGGGTCCTAAGTAGCCGGCTACGTGCAGGTTGATCGGAATGCAAATAAACAACGCGCCAGGCTGGCACTGCCGGCTGCAGCTAAGCCAACTCCCCCAGGTACCGCCTTCTCCTTTTCAGGGACCGAGAGTAGGGCCACCCGAGGCCCGTGGCACAGACCCCGGACCCAGGGCTGCCGTGGCGGGCACTGGAGGAGCCGGAGGGGCACCGCGAGCACTGGGCACACCCGGGTCCCCACTACAGCCCCTGCCGCTTGCGTCTGGAAACGAATCCTGAGGTAGCAGATGAGGTAGCGGACACTGGTCCCCAAACAAGGTCTCCCTGAAGGCCTGCTCTGATCCCTTCGGGCCGAGGTCACAGCCGGTGACCTGAGCCGGTGACCTGCTGAGCTCGTGAGCTCTGACCCGCGGGGAAGAGCAGTGTTAAAGGGCGGGGCCCCTGTAGCCCCCTGAACGCGGTTTCTGCTCCCACAGGCCGGCTGGTACCCCCGTGTTTCTGTTACGGGGTGAGCCTGGAAGGGTCCCGAGCTGTCCCTCTTTGAGAGGGACTCCAAGGGGCTTTTATTTGACAAACACAGGAAGCTCCTCGAGGGGCAGCTGGGCAGGTCCTAAGGAATTCGGTTCCCGCTGTCCCTACGTCTGGCCCTATGGGGCTGGAAGGTGGGGAACACAATGGAGAGAAGGAAACCTCTTGCCGGCTCTATCTGCCTGTGATTCCTGTCCAGCCGTACGGGTCACACGTGAATCTGAAGAGGCTGCCGCCCTATCTTTTTCTCTCCAGGGTGAATGCAAAATTATTCTCTTCAGGGTGAATGCAAAATTATTCTCTTCCGAGATGTGTGTGTCCTTTTTACCGGCAACTTAATGATTTTTAAAATGGCCAAAGAGCCTGAAAACAGATGCTGTATCCCGTGATCCCCTGCACGTGCACCCTGGTTGCTCGATTCACTGGCCGAGATGTCCTGTGACCCACTGACGAGAGGTCCCTGGCGCTCCTGCTATAAGGAGCAAACAGGGAGGACGTGAGGTGACCGGGCAGCTGCACAAAGAGTGGGCACACACATACACACACACACACACACATACACAGAGGAACCCCGAGGTGGTGGACGGAGGGACACGGAAGTGGGGCTTCTCCCGAGGAGGGTGTCGGGGACGGACGTCAGCCCCCGCTGGGCATTCAATGATCCAGGGCCGAGATGCTCTGTCCCAGCTGTGCTCCTCTGACCAGCGCTGGGTGACGGTGCCTCACTTGCCTGTTCGGTGCTGGCCGTGTCGTAGGTGACAGTTGGCAAAGGAGCTCCAAACACCTCCAGTGACGAAAAGGAAAAGAAAGGCTGCTTCTTGTTGATAAATGCTCCACCTTGCATCATGTATCAGGTATCAGGGCAGTGGGTGCACTTCCCGGAGGGGCTGCAGAGGGTCTGCACCAGGTGCCCCGGGGCCCGCTCCCACCAGCCAGGGACCCCTGTCCTCTGGCTTCTCAGGAAGGTGGGAGTGAGATAAACACACTTCAAACACTCGTGTCTTCAGCCAACATCATTCTCAATGGTGAAAAACTGAAAGCATTTCCTTTAAGATCAGGAGCAAGACAAGGTTGTCCACTCTCACCGCTCTTATTCAACATAGTTTTGGAAGTCCTAGCCACGGCAACCAGAGAAGAAAAACAAGTAAAAGGAATACAAATTGGAAAAAAATAAGTAAAACTGTCACTGTTTGCAGATGACATGATACTATACATAGAGAATCCTAACGATGCCACCAGAAAACGACTAGAGCTAATCAATGTATTTGGTAAAGTTGCAGGATACAAAATTAATGCACAGAAATCTCTTGCATTCCTATACACTAACAATGAAAGATCAGAAAGAGAAATTAAGGAAACACTCCCATTCACCATTGCAACAAAAAGAATAAAATACCTAGGAATAAACCTACCTAAGGAGGTAAAAGACCTATACTCAGAAAACTATAAGACACTGATGAAAGAAATCAAAGATGACACAAACAGATGGAGAGATATACTATGTTTTTGGATTGGAAGATCAATACTGTGAAAATGACTATACTACCCAAAGCAATCTATTCAATGCAATCCCTATCAAATTACCAATGGCATTTTTTACAGAACTAGAACAAAAAAATCTTAAAATTTGTATGGAGACACAAAAGACCCTGAAGAGCCAAAGCAATCTTGAGGGAAAAAAACGGAGCTGGAGGAATCAGGCTCCCTGACTTCAGACTATACTACAAAGCTACAGTAATCCAGACAGTATGGTACTGGCACAAAAACAGAAATATAGATCAGTGGAACAGGATAGAAAGCCCAGAGATAAACCCACACACCTATGATCAACTAATCTATGACAAAGGAGTCAAGGATATACAATGGAGAAAAGACAGTCTCTTCAATAAGTGGTGCTGGGAAAACTGGACAGCTACATGTAAAAGAATGATATTAGAACACTCCCTAACACCATACGTGAAAATAAAGTCAAAATGGATTATAGACCTAAATGTAAGACTGGACACTATAAAACTCTTAGAGGAAAACATAGGCAGAACACTGTATGACATAAATCACAGCAAGATCTTTTTTGACCCACCTCCTAGAGTAATGGAAATAAAACCAAAAATAAACAAATGGGACCTAATGAAACTTCAAAGCTTTTGCACAGCAAAGGAAACCATAAACAAGATGAAAAGACAACCCTCAGAATGGGAGAAAATATTTGCAAATGAAGCAACTGACAAAGGGTTAATCTCCAAACTATATAAACAGCTCATGCAGCTCAACATTAAAAAAACAAACAACCCAATCCAAAAATGGGCAGAAGATCTAAATAGACATTTCTCCAAAGAAGACATACAGATGGCCAAGAAGCACATGAAAAGCTGCTCAACATCACTAATTATTAGAGAAATGCAAATCAAAACTACAGTGAGGTATCACCTCACACCAGTTAGGATGGGCATCATCAGAAAATCTACAAACAGCAAATGCTGGAGAGGGTGTGGAGAAAAGGGAACCCTCCTGCACTGTTGGTGGGAATGTAAATTGATACAGCCACTATGGAGAACAGTATGGAGGTTCCTTGAAAAACTAAAAATAAAATTACCATATGACCCAGCAATCCTACTACTGGGCATATACCCGGAGAAAACCATAATTCAAAAAGACACATGCACCCCAATGTTCATTGCAGTTCTATTTACAATAGCCAGGTCATGGAAGTAACCTAAATGCCCATTGACAGATGAATGGATAAAGAAGATGTGGTACGTATATACAATGGAATACTACTCAGCCATAAAAAGGAACAAAATTGAGTCATTTGTAGAGATGTGGATGGAGCTAGAGGCTGTCATACAGAGTGAAGTAAGTCAGAAAGAGAAAAACAAAAATTGTATATTAACTCATATATGTGGAGCCTAGAAAAATGGTACAGATGAACCGGTTTGCAGGGCAGAAAGTGACACAGATGTAGAGAACAAACATATGGACACCAAGCGGGGAAAGCGGGCGGTGGGATGAACTGGGAGATTGGGATTGACATATATACACTAATAGGTATAAAATAGATAACTAATAAGAACTGCTGTATTTAAAAAAATAAAATAAAATTCAAAACAAAAAACCACTCGCGTCTTCTGAGCCGGGTGGGTGCTCAGGTGGGAAGCGGCCACCTGCTGAGAGTCTGTGGTTCCGGGTCTGGGGGGAGGGCCACCCCTGCACTGGGCCCTCCTGAGGGCTGCTGCCCTGGGACCCCTTCTCTGTGCAGCCTGCCTTTCTCTGGATGAGAGAAAGCATCCTCTAGCATGAGATGGACCTGCCAAGAATGTTCTAGAAATGAAGCTTCTGAACCATAAGCCCATAAAGAACAGATGTCACAAAACAACGCAGGAAAACAATTCAGCAATACTGGTAGGTGGACAAACGTCAAACAGTCATGCCGACCCAAAGAACACATCTTACATGATTCCATGAAATGTCCAGAAGGGGCAACATCCACAGAGACAGGAAGCAGGTGTGCGATGCCTGGGGGAGGAGCCTGCACACGGCGTGGGGACGTGCCACAGTCAGATGGTGGAGGCTGCACAGTCATAAGTTTACCAAAACTCACTCAATTGTTCACTGAAAATGAACGTATTTTACAGTATGTAAATCCTACCTCAATAAGGCTACTAAAATGCATGTTATAAAATAGTAGAAACCCACAAAAAGTCATCAGTCAATGGCACAGAATGCAATGCAACCATCTGCCGGAAATGCCCCTTCCAGCAGGTGTGTGTATGCGTGTGCGTGCGCACACGGGCGTGTGCACACGGGCGTGTGCACGTGTGAGTGCCCTGATGACAGGCTCTCCTGCACCGTCAGTACCGCGTGTGGACCCTTCCCCGTGTGCCTCGCCTGCCCTTTACGGAGCCAGTTCTGATGGCCGCAATGGCCCATTTTAGGGAGTTCAGGGGTCGAGCTGCTTAGTTAGCGGTCGGGGAGGGGAGGCCCGCCTGCCTTCCGCCCCCCCGCTACGCCCACGTGCACTTTGCCCGCCCCCTCTGGTGCGCCTCCGGCCTGACCCATCGGGCGTTCAGTGAAGAGCCCATCCCAGCCCAGCCGCCCTGGGTCGTTCTCACACCGCTTCTTAAAGTGCTTCTTTTATTGTCACCTTTCCTGAAAAGGCGGTTGGCCAGATGCAGCGTATTTTGCTCATTTTATCCTTAGGGAACGTGAGGCA